GTGGGTGACACAGACAACACCTCCGTCGAATGTCAGTCGGATCCGACCGAGTCAGCCAACTCCGAAAAAACAAAGAAAAAATCTTACGAAAAATCGTATCCGTTGCAAGCATTGATAGCCTACTTAAAACTCAAACAAGCAGTCGCTCTTGTCGTCCCCACTCAACCGGATAAAGATGGTTCGATCCAGACCGGAGAAAATGTTCCCCCGGTAGACTCAACACCGCATCGAATTTTGCTATTCGCTCCCAGTAGTTTTGCTCTCAGTCTGCTAAAACAGGCGGCTCCGAATCTGGGTCCCGAACTAGCCACCATGGACAAGTACATGGTGATGTTGATTGTCAAACGTTGACGCACATCGCTGATTTTTCGTTTCTGTTATTATTCATACCATAATAATTACATATTGCTTCCAATGTTTGTTTTTAAATCCTCATATGCCGTGATAAAAATACGGACCACTAATTAAACGTTGTTCAGTTTTCCTTTTCGATTCGTGTCAGTTGTGGTTGACATCGAAACCCGTTACCAACCGATCAGCACTTTTATGCAATCTGAGCCAGGGCCTAATCCACACTTTAACTCCCAGTTACCTAGACTAGTTTAGTGCATATGTGCCACTTATGGTTCAGTTTTCATAACCAAAATCCTTACAATTTCGTGCGCTGATTTTCTTCCCCGTCTTAGCGTTGCCTATTTCGACGACCAAAGAGGGAGGTAGCAAATAGAAGAATTGTCAAATAATACTCCCTGTTCACAAAGTTCGTTAAGGAAGATAAGAACATTCATTGGCTTGTAGACTGTGTAATTATTTCGCTGCGTACACGTACATACTGCGACTAGTGTTATCGGTTATATGGATGACACATTGCATGCTTTCATAACCACAAAAAGGGGACGGGAACAGAGGAAACACCACAGAAGGAAAAACGTAATTGGATATTCTTAAAGATGTGCTGCGTCATATTCAGTCCGGTGAATGAGGCTGGAAACACTAAGCGTTGGGAGGAACAGATGTGATCGTTCTACACGAGGTGGCGGTGTGCTGCTATATTTCCGCAGCANTCGAAACCGCCCGAGGATTATAAAAGTAACCTTCAGTACCCCGGAAATGGTCACATCGGTCTTGCTGGCATGGTATCAAAACTGAAGAAGAGGTCCACCAGAATTACGCCTCAGAACACTGTTGAATAGTGAGGTAAAACGATGTCTGCAGTTAGAAAACGGGGCTAACATGCTGTCTCCTCCCAAACAAACTCCACTCCACTCTACTTCTTCGGGAGCCTACAGCAACAGAACCGATTCCCCCAAAAACTACTGCTAGCCAACCCCGGTCGGCATAAATAATGATTCGAAACCCAGCGGATTCCTAAACCGACGCTCCCTGGCTTATTTTTGTGCAAACGCACAAGGCTTCCTCAGCTAATTCCCATCAGACTTCAAATGCGCTTACAAACTGGCCAGTGGGATCTTGTTGTCGTTACCGAAACTTGGTTGACTGCCGATATTTTCGACTCTGAATCGCACCTACCAGCAATGTCGCTGCTGAAACGTGATGGTTCTACGCGAGGTGGCGGTGTGCTGCTATATTTCCGCAGCAATCTTCAATGTGAATCACTCGATCTCTTCAATGCAGCCCCTGACACACTTTGGTACACAATGAAGTTTTCCAAAGATAGCAATTGTTTGATCGGTGTAGTCTACCATCCTCCTACATCCTCAGACTTAGCTAACGAGACACTTGCAGACTATGAGAAACGCTGTCTCACTAAAGTGCACTCATGTTCTCATAATGAGGGACTTCATTTGTCCCAATTTTATAAAAAGCCAGAACTATCACCACCCTTTCGAGCGAAACTTATCACAGTTTATTGACTCACATCCGATGTATAATCAAGTGAAGAATCCCACCAGATTCGGAACAGGCCACCAACCATCAACACTGGACTTCGTGTTGACAAGCGAGGAGCTTATGGTCGAATCGGTCGAAATAACGTCTCCATTAGGACGAAGCGACCATGCAGTTCTGCTTTTCGATTACATTTACCATGCCTTAATAGAAATATGCTTGAAAACCAACACACGCACAGTTATTGACTACAATGAATTGCTGAATCTTGCTACTGTCAAACAATGGACACAACCAGAATTGCAGCTAGATCCACTGGAGTCCTGTAAAAGATTCATTGAAACACTAATAAAACTCATAACGGTCGCCACAAAAACCAAGCCTGACGGTGTGTTGCATACACGATTATCACGTCCCTAGTCGAACCAAGAAATGGATGTCACAAAGGAATTTCTCCTGGTGAGAGTTCAGATGTCCGACTGCCGAAACTTGGTATAACTATATCATGTTGAGAAACCGTTGTGTAAAATTAGTGCGATAAACGAACGTTTCAAGAAACTCTGGCACATAAATTTTTTGCCAATCCAAAGCATACCAATGCTACCAGAAAAGTGAATTATGGAATACCGGCACTAAGGCATACAGGACGCGTTTCCACTACTACTGCTGAAGCAGCCGAATTCCTAAAAGTCCAGTTCTACGATGTGTTCACTGAAGGTAACAAAGGCGGATTACAGCTTCCACACCTTCTATCAAGTGTCCCATACCCCAACTGACCACCTTCACTTTCAGATCTGAAACGGCTAAAAACAAAATAATGGCGATGCGCCGGAATCCATCTCTAGGGGAAGACAACATCCGGCCACAGGCCCTGAACTCCTTGGCAAATTAAACATCTGAAATAATCGCCCATTTATACCATAGAATGTTCGACAAGACGAAGAAGATCCCTCAATCCTGGAAAAACGGCATCATTTCGCCTAGTTACAAAGGTGGCTGTAGAGGTGATCCTGCGAACTACTGTCCAGTGACACTTTGTGTTCTGCAAAAGTAATGGAATCAATTGTTCCTGATATTCTGATGGATCATTTCGAGAGGCATAACATACTTTTGCCGGCCCAACACGGGTTTCGAAGGAAACGCTCGTGCACCATAAACCTGCTGCTTGCACGAGATGAATGGACGAGATCAGTCGACGCAGGATAGGCAGTAGAAGTAATCTACTTAGACTTCTTCAAAGCTTTTGACAGGGTTAACCACCATATATTGCAGCGAAAGCTCCATAATTACGGTGTCCGAGGACTGCTACTAGACTGGATTGAGGAATTTCTTCGACAACGTACGGTATCGGTTCGAGTTAATGGTTTCCTGTCGGGACCGATGGAGGCTGTCCGTGGGGTTCCGCAAAGATCCATATTCGGTCCGTACCTTTTCCTAGCATTTTTAAACGACTTACCAGATGTCCTTGGATAAATGGGCTTATTATTCACTGATGACGCCAAAACATGGAGAACGGTAAGGTATCCTGAAGAATGTGAAACCCTACAGGGAACTTTCGACGCAGCTTATCGACGGTCCATTATTAATGACATCGAATTCAACGTCGAAAAATGCAAAGTTGTATCACTGCACCGCAGGGGTCGCTTTCTATACTTACTTGGAACTCAGCCACTGCTGCGTTCTCCAAACGAAAAGGACCTGGGAGTTATCGTTCATGAGGATCTAATATTTTCCACTCATTGTGCAAGAGCGTCTTCAAAGGCTATAAAACACGTTGGATTGCTAAACCGTGTTTTCGAGTCATTCGAAACAGACCTATTGTCCCATTTATTATCAGCATACATTAGACCATACACAGGGTATGCTATACAGGCTTGGAATCCATGGCTGATTCGCGACCAAAAGGTACTCGAACATCCGCAGAAAACAGCAACCAAAGTAGTCAAAGGGTTACAATCTTAGGCCTACGGTGAAAGGCTACGAATTCTCGGACTCTTCATCTGAATACCGTCGAATACGGAGAGACATGATCCTCGTTTATCAAATACTACATCAACCTAACCACCCGCGTAGTACGCTACTAT